GTTGCAATTTGTTCACTCCAAGCAGGGGTGTGTCACAATCAGAGGATGCTTCGAGGATGTATCTCTGGGGGGCCTGGGGCCGTCCGACGGGGCACTCCAGGAAGTGCCTCGCCCTCGGTGCCTCCTCCCCCTCGGCGGGCCCGCTGGCGGAAGGCTGGCGGCAGGAGGCAGGAGCAAGCCGCCAGGGGGCAAACGGGTCCTGAGAGGAGGAGGAGGAGGAGGAGGAGGAGGAGGAGGAGGAGGAGGAGGAGGAGGGAGGATGATGATGAGGAGGAGGAGGAGGAGGAGGAGGAGGAGGAGGGGGAGGAGGAGGAGGAGGAGGAGGAGGAGGAGGAGGAGGAGGAGGATGCGGGTCCTGAGAGAAACGGGTCTTGAGGTTTTCCGCCGCTTTCGGGCTCTCGGGGTCCTCCAAAGACCCCGGGGCGGTCAAGAAACGACTCGGGAGGAGGAGCCCGGCTTGGGAGGAGGCCCCCAGGGCCCAGGACCCGTTGCCCTCAGAAGCCGTTTCCCGCATGCGACGTCCGAATGAGACGCCAACGTGTGTGGATTCAGAGTGTCTGGAGTTGGCCAGGTTCCGAAGCGAGAGAGCAAGATCTGCCAGGATGGACCCCGTCGGAGAGCTCAGAGAAGAGAGATTTGTAGAGGGCTGTGGCGGTCAAATCGGGGGACAGAGGAGGACCCCGAAGATCGAAGTTCGAGGATTCCAGTTTTTCTGTTTTGCGCCCGTTTGGGCAACTCCTGAAGGCTTCTCGTCGCCACGGCTGGGTGACTTTCAAAATCTACTGCCCTTCAGCCCACAACCCGCCACCGTGCCTGGGCCACAGATCGAAAAGCTCCCTGGAGGTTTCCTTGGGGTCTGTTGGGAGGCCTCTTGGGGGCCTCGTGGATTCGAAGAAGAAAAAAACGCCATAGACATAAACTCTTGGCGCTCCGCGCGGATTTCTTGGATCCGCGCTGGGGCCCCCCGGCGGCGCCTCCGGCGCCGCCCCTGGCGCGCTCCGCGCGCCAGGGAAGGGGTTCCAGCGGAGATCCAAGAAATCCGCGCGGAGCGCCAAAAGTTTATGTTTATGGCGTTATCCTTTTTTCATGGATGTCCCCTGGAGGGCCTCGTGCTCGCGGCCACCTGGGACGCCTGCACACAGTTCAGAACACTTCAGGGCCCCGAAGCCCAGCACGTTGCAAGACATGACTCTGCCAGACCAGGCGGGGGAAAGCGAAGACTGGAGAACATGTCGACTCACGGCTCCAGTTTTCCTCGGCGCGTCAACGTCTTGGCTTATCAAGGTACCAGTTCACGGGGCCTTGGAAATTGGCCGGTATGGGCCCCAGGGGAGGTCCAGAGGTGAACCATATTGAACAGATTCTCCTCCGAAGCGAGCAGCGTCCAGCAGAGATCGTCACTCTCCTCCTCGCCCTCCCCCAGGCCATCGCCGCCCTCCTCCTCGCCCTTCTCCTCGCCCTCCTCCTCGCCCTCCTCCTCGCCCTCCTCCTCGCCCTCCTCGCCCTCCTCCTCGCCCTCCTCCCCCCCCCTTCGTCTCCTCTGGCCCCCGCCAGGGCCTGCGGTCCCCCTCGTCGCCCTCCTCCTCTCTCCTCCGCCGCCGCCCGCCGTCCTCGTCGCCCTGCTCCTCGCCCTCCTCGCCCCTCCCCGCCCTCCTCCGCTCGCCCTGCCCCTCCCTCGCCGCTCCCCTCCCCCCCCTCAAGAGCCTCGGAGCTGCGGGCACCGGTGCCGTCGGGGCGGCGCTGGCCTGCAGTCGGGCCGAGGCATGTGTGATCGAGGTCGGTTCAGAGAGGGTGCCCTCGTGCTCCTCGTGCCTGTTGGATGCTCCCGTGCATCCTGGGGAGGGTGCCCTCGGATGCGTTGTGCGTCTCGGTCGACGGAGGATCTCCTCTTCTCGAGGGATGCTCCTCTGGCCCGGGTCCTGCTGTACTCGCCCCCCCTCCTCCCCCGGCCCCTCAGGGTCTCCATGTTTGAGCCCGTGCCTCCACAGGATGAAGAAATAGTGGCCTACCATTGAGTACGCCTTCGGCTGCCGAAGATAGAACGGCCCGCCGTGTGCGTGCTGTGCCGCAGGTCGCGCACCCGGCGGCCGAAAACATAAGTGGGCCTGAGGTTGATTGCGCCATAGACTGCGTACGGAGCCACCGCACACACATCGACCTCACATTGGTTGCACCATGGGTTGCGCCCTCGGCTGCCGAGGATAGAACGGCCTGCAATTTACGTGTTCCGCCCTAGGCCGCGCACCCGACGACCGAACATGAATCCGTCTGGCACTGGTTGCGCCGTAGGCTGAGCACACGGCGACCGAACACGAGTCGGCCTGACATTGGCTGTGCCGCAGGCTGCGTGCTATTGTCTTGGTATCGCTCGGACGTGTGCACTTTTTCTCGGCGGGGATCCTTGAGAAGCATCCTGGATCATCCTGCGAAAAAACCACGCACGGAACCGAAAAAAGCACAGGGAATGGACCTCCGAGCGATGGCCAGCTGTTTGTGCCGGGTTCTGCGCACTCGGCCGCCGAATGCAAAGCTGCCCGATGTCGGCTGCGGCATGGGCTGCGAGCTCCGCGACCGAGAACACGACGGCGTGGCACGGGTTGCCCCACACGCTGCTCGCTCGGCGGACGAGAGCAGCACGGCCTGCTCACGGGCGTGACCAGTCCACTCCTCCTCCTCCTCCTCCTCCTCCTCCTCCTCCTCCCCCTCCTCCTCCTCCTCCTCCTCCCTCCTCCTCAACCTCCTCCTCCTCCTCCGGGAGGGAGAGAGAGAGAGAGAGAGAGAACAAAAAAGAGAGAGAGAGAGAGAGAAAAAAAAAAAAAAGCTTCGTCGGCGTTGTAGGTTCGCGTCGTGTCAACAGGGCGTCGTGTCGACAGCCGGCGTGCAGCGTGGAACGCCGCCGGCGACCCAGAACCGGTCAATGTTGAAGGATTTGACGTTTCGGAGACGGCCGATCGTTCTCAATATTGAACGATCCCCGCGGTGTCAGGAACCAGCGCCTGGGTCGACACGACACGAATCTGCCGTACACCGCCGCTCAGTCCACGTCAAGAAACACCGATGCTGTTTGCGCTTGTCCACACCAGAAGGATCTCCTGCCCCGTCCGACGCCGCCTGTCCCCGCTGCCCGAAGTGTCATCACGTTTGTGGCGCTGTCTATGGGGAGAGGGCCACATCCTCCTCCTCCTCCTCCTCCTCCTCCTCCTCCGCCTCCTCCTCCTCCTCCTCCTCCTCCCTCCTCCTCCTTCTCCTCTTCCTCCTCGTCCAGCAGCGAGAGACTTGCTGCTGCATAGGATTGAGTCCCTCGGCAGGCTAAGTCGCTGCTTCCTGGAGAAGCGCCCAAAGTCCAGGCGGCGGTCACAGGTAATACGTCAGCGGGTTCGGAGAGTCCTTGGGTTGATTTGTGGCCAAGCTCTGGCAGAGTAGAGAGTGATGCTGCTGATGATGATGTTGATGACGATGGTGGTGATGATGATAACGATGATGCTTACGATGATGATTATGATAATGACGATGATGATGGTGATGATGATGACGATGACGATGACGATGATGCGATGATGATATTGATCTGATGATGACGATGATGATGACGACGATGATGATAATGGCGGTGATGATGATGATGATGATGATGATGATGATCATGATGATGATTATGGCGATGATGATACTGCTGATGATTATCATGCTGATCATGATGATACTGATGTTGATAATGATGATGATGGTGGTGGTGATGATGACGATGACGAAGACGAAGACGATGACAATACTGCCATGATGATGCTATGGTGATGGTGATGATGATGACGATGACGATGACGATGCTGATGTCGATGATGGTGATGTTGTTGATGATGATGGCGATGATGATGATGATGATGATGATGATGATGATGATGGTGATGATGATGGTGATGCTGATGATGATGATGATGGTGGTGGTGGTGGTAGTGATGATGGCGGTGCTGGTGATGGTGATGGTGATTGTGATGATGATGGCGATGATGATGATGATGATGCTGATGATGATGATGGTGATGATGATGATGATGATGATGATGATGATGATGATGATGATGTAGAGGAGGAGGAGGAGGAGGAGGATGTGGAGGAGGAGGATGAGGAAGAGGAAGACAATAATATTAATAAGGATAGACGTTGCTCGCGCCATCTCTTGTTCCGAGATGTCCCGACCATCGTTCGCATTTCGGCACTCATTGTCGGAATGCCTTCCAGAAGCCTTAGAACATTGACCTCTGGAGCGCTGCTTCGCAGAAGATCGTCAAATGTGTCACGGCGGCAGTTTGGGGAAGGTTTTGCGGGACAGGTCCAAGGGGTGGGCTTTTGATTTCCAGATCTGGACCTCGAACATCTGGACTAAAATAGCTTGGGACGCCTGTTCCTCAATTTGGGCCTCCTGAGACCGGTTGCGGGCCGCAGGATCGTCAAGAAACGGTGGGCCCAGAGAGAAAGGACAAATTGTCCCAAGGAGTGGTTCAAGAGTTTGGGTGATCGCGAACTGAAAAAATCACGACGTCGGAGGTTTCGGTAGGAGGAAGAGGTTCGATGTCTTCGGAAGTGCTTGGCCTTCCGTGGGCCTCCTTGGGCTGTCTTGGAGGCCTTTCGGGGGGGCGTCTTGGGATTTCTCGGCTGCGCATCGGAAGCATACACGGAGCGTCTTAGGCTGTCTTGAAAGCGTCTCGGGCTGTCGTGGATGCGTAAGGAAAGCGTCCGATGCACATGAGGTATCTTCGGTGTCATGGGGTGCGTGCTGGGGGGGCCCTAGGGGGGACACCAGAAAGAGAGGAGGCGGGGGGAGGAGGATGAGCTCTGGCGCAGCAGACGCGCACGACAAGGCCCCAAGAGGCCTCAAGCAGTCCTGAAAGGCGCTGTCGTTCGAACTGATGGGAAGGAGATTCAGCGAGGCAGCATCTGGCCGAGAAGGACGAAGGAGAGAGATAGAGGAGCCAGCATGCCACGGGGGCGCCGATGCTCAG